ATCACCTTTCCTGGGATGGAGGTGAGGCTGACCGGCCTGTAGTTTCCTGGGTCCTCTTTCTTGTTCTTTTTGAAGATTGGAGTGACATTGGCCTTTCTCCAGTCCTCGGGCACCTCTCCTGTCCTCCAGGACCTCTCAAAGGTGATGGGAGTGGCTCAGCAATGACATCCACCAGCTCCCTCAGCACTCGTGGGTGCATTCCATTGGGGCCCATGGATATGTGGACATCCAGATCGCTTAAGCGATCCCTCACACAGTCCTCCTTGACCAAGGGAAAGTCATCCTCTTTGTAGGCTTCCTCTCTTACCTCCGGGGCCTGGGATTCCTGAGGGCCTGCCTGGACATTGAAGACTGAAGCAAAGAAGGCATTCGGTAGCTCTGCCTTCTCTGCGTCCTTCGTCAGCAGGACACCCACCTCATTCAGCAGCGGCCCCACTTTGTCCCTAGCCTTCCTTTTGCTGCTGATGTAGTTGAAGAAGTCCTTCTTGTTGTTTTTGACATCCCTTGCCAGTTTCAATTCCAGGTGGGCTTTGGCCTTCCTTGTCACATCCCTGACGTAGCAGTCGTCACATAGCCCAGAGTCAAAGCATCAGCCAAAAATTATACGAAGCCACTGGGTGTGCTTGGGCATGCAGCATCATCTGTGCTGAGTATAGCAGCTTTCAGCTGTGTTTGGTCGTCCTGCAGGTTGGCCAGAGTGTGAGAGTGGTGTCAAGGAGCACCTCTGCAGCGGGAGTTGAACAGGCATCCCCCTCTCCACCTTCCAGCAATATAGGGGCAGATAAGCTAGGCAGAGGACAACAACAGCTTTTCCACATTTACATGAACATCATTAACTTAATGTCTCATGGAGATTCAGATGGGCGAGATAGCATTTTTCTTCAAAAAGACAAGAGTGGAAATGGTAAATTAAAAGTACAGAGCTTGATTTGCTGCATTTTTGTGGAATGAAAGCATAGTTGTTGCTGAATCCCAGAATACATAGACCTGGTACATGGCTGTTGCAAGATTTAATCATTAAGAGATTTAATGAAAAATTTTCTTACTAGTATGAGTAGGACATTTCTCTCTGAACTCTAAGCTGTTTAGCAAAACTAAACACTTGTATTCAGCTTTACTGCTCTTGAAAGATGCTGGCTGACATAAACGCTACAACAGCTGACAGAGATCCTAACATGACCTTGAAGTGTCCATGGAGAAGATAAAGCGCTGCTGATTTCGTGTGCAGTTTCTGCGCTGCCATTCAAACAGGCCTCAGCCCTCCTGACGGCAGAGATGAGAGCTGTTTTGCTGCCTATTCTGTTTTGGTCTCTCTTTTGAATTTGGGAGATGCTTTGTGATATGAACACTGCTCTGTTCAGAACTGCTCCAAGATAAAGCTTATTTCACACAACCCCTTGGGTAGCCCAGATGGAAAGTTTACTGAATCCTTCAGTAAATACTGATGTCGACTGAATTTAAATCAGAGAGCCAGAAGTGAACTGTAATCGTTCTGTCTCAGTCTGGTCATGTCACTTTTACAAAGCTACTGATTTCTCTCCAGATCTGCTCAGGCACACAGGGCACATCAAAAAAGCTGGATGCAGACAAACATAAGCTGGCTCTGCCCAGGCTAGATTTTCTCATTACATGATATTACATCCTGTCTTGCAGCAAAAATTATTAGCTTAGTAGCAGAGATATAAAGCTTCTAGATTGCAGCTGACCCTCGTCTCCCTTGTTCAGTGAGTGGACATAAATGCTTGCTTCAGTACACACTCAGTTTGAATCTACTTCCAGATGTGAGGAGATAATCCAAAATTTTGGGATCACTGAATTTT